GTTGAGTATTAAGTATAAGAGTTCGTTGTTGCAGCAAACTAGTGTATTATGAAGTGGTGACAAAAGATTGTTGTATTTACGCTTGGGGCAAGATGTTGTGAAGCGATGCGCAATAGAGAGAAGCACGTGGGTGTGTATATTATTAGGAAGCAACGGGTAATGAAGTTGTTGCTGTTGGTTCTGAAAAGTTCGCACAAAAAAAAAAGCTTGCGTTCGTTTTGATAGTATCTATAATACCCAATGCGTTGGTTTTGGAACTCTTTCACCAATAAACGTATCGATGGAGACTTGTTCGTGAGTTATAGCAAACTGTCGTATGTGCGTAATACGGAGTGAGACAAATAATTGTTCGTATATGTATGAGCAAACGTGCGTGTTTGAACTTTTTTATCAGTTAGTAATCGATAAACCGCTGTTTGTGAATTGTATTACGTGCGTTATACGGAGTGTCGTAAAGATTGTTGAATTTACGCTTTGAATAAAGAGAGGTTATTGTGAAGCAATACACGTACAATGGTCTGAGTACAAGTAGACATTCTAGTTTATGTGGTTAGTAACCGTGTCGTTGTTGGAAGACTTGTTTGTGAGGTTTTAGAGGATTGTCGTGTCATATAAAGTAGCAGCAAAAAACTGGTTGTTGTATTTACGCTTTGGAGGCGTTGCATGTACAACAGGGAGAAGTGTTCGGTTATAGATGTATGATTAGACGTGTGTTCAAACTTTTTCAATCGTTTGTATGGTCGATAACTGTGTCACTGTTATAAGATTTGTTCGTGAGTTGTAGGAAACCGTCGTGTCATACGGAGCAGCGCAGCAGGAAAGAATTGTTGTATTTACGCTTTGGAGGAGATGTTGTTGAGAGGCGACTCATGCACAATAAGGCAAAGCGTTCGGGCGTTCATCGATTAGCGATAATAAACTGTGTTGTAGTGAACCGTGTATGTGCTTGATATGGTGTGGCAACAGAGGACGTTTTTACATATTTAAAATAACGCTTTGGAGGAGAAAATATTTTGACGCAATACATGCGCAATGGAGAGGCGCTTGGGTATATATGTATGTATGTATGTATGTATGTATGTATGAGGAGACGCGTCAAATGCTTTTACCTATTTAATAACGATAAAGGGTGTAAAAATCTGCAACTATCAACTAATAGTAAAGCATAAACGAGCATCGATGTGTTGCCCAGTGTACATACATGACATAACGTCGCGACTGTCTAGTTGTTTCCGATTATGCCACTAGGTTGTAAATACCGGGCACAAACATTGCATGATAGAGTATATCTCAACAAGAGCTATTGCTACGGCTAAACTTGCCTACTTTCTTTATAAATTATTGTAAGTAGTTTATTTTGCAGAAACATACTGTTATTATCATAAAATATCATTACGCGTGGTTTATGGGTAATCACTGGTCGCTAGCTTGTGACAATTACAACATTTGTATCAAGTGATACCAAAATGTGAGACCCGCGTCTACATATCTACCCACCCCCACTCTCCTCCAAAGCGCAAATACAACGGTGTCTAATAATTATTAACAAACAATCCTCAACTGTTATGCCATATTACACACATATGACACGAACAAGTCATTATCAAACGTTGTTTACCAACTCAAATGTATAGCGAACAATCTTCTGCCGCCCTCCACACGTACGCTACAGCTTACAAACAGCTCTCTAACAATACAGTTTATCGACCACTAACTGATGAAAGAGTTTAAACATACATGGACGCTTCTCTCTACTGTGCATGAATCGCCTCGCAACATCTCCTCCAAAGCGTAAATACAACAATTCTTTGCTGCTGTGCTGCTCCATATGACACGACGGTTTCCTACAACTCACGAGTAAAATAAGTAATGCATTGTCTTACGCTATAAACTAACTCTGTTTTTTTTTTCCTTTTCCCATTTCTCCTCCCTGATGGGTTCGCTGGGTGATCGGATCCAATGGGACGCTTGGTGCTGCTGGAGCGAATTTGAGGGATTGATTCGGTAGCTACTTAACCGTTTGTGAAGGATACAGTCCCTGAAGCTGGTTAGAGATAAGGTGTGAGTTTGCCGCTTGGCTGCCGATTAAAAGCAACAGTTGCTATCTACCCGTTATACATTATAATTTAAAACATTCAATTTAATTGTTATTATATTATTATTTTATATTATTATTTATTATAGTAGTTTTATATTAATATTAAATAATAACGTTATTAATATTGCTTTTAGGTTATTTATTGAATTTGGCCAAATAAAAATACACAATTAGAACTTTTCAGCCATCCCACGTATAAAGAGAAGAAGAAGCTTAAATGTTAAGCACAATCATGAGATATAATGCTAGAGAATGTTACAATCAACTTAGTCGATTTTATGCAAAAATGGTGAACATATTTACTAATTTGAATCTGTATCTTCAAAAATCATATTACGCTTTTCCTACCTTTAGTCGATAGTTAGCGACCCTTCACTGCTCGCAGCTTTGTGTTAATTGTGACGTACAGTATAGTAGCATTAAGAGAAACTTTAGCGACTGCGAACAGAATAGTTTTAGATTTTCCCACTTTACGGTTTCAATAAGTTTTACTACTCGACATCGTCAATGTTAGTCGTTATTAAATTTCTTGACGGACGATTGGTTAATTGATAGGACATTAATATGCACAAATCGCTGCGTCAATTATCCATCCGCAGTCACAAATGATCAAAAATAGAAACCTCGAGCTCGATACGTCCCCATTACACAAATCGGAAAAACTCCTAGTGGTTGGATCGAAACTTTTCCTAATATGGGTAATAGCTAATTGCATTCTGACCAGTTGGCCAACATTCACCAGAACATTGAACGAAGAGCACACACAGTTTAGTCAATTAATGTAGACATTCAGTTTACTATTTAATATGCAATACAAAAGTGAAACATTTATTTATGTATTCAATACAAAAAAGTCGAACATTTTATCTGTATATTCAAGCTCGACACACAAAGACTCTCTATAAATAATATTATTCCACCAAAGATCCAACCAGAATAATTAAGTGAACAGCTCATATTCATTACAGAACATGAATAAAATTATTGTCTCTTATCAAATTAGTTCTTGCTCGCAGCTGCTTTCGGTGCGTCCTGTGGATTATACGGTACGAGTGTGCCGTTCGTATTTGCGACAGGTATAGTGTCCTCTTGAAGTTGTCCCTGACTTGGAGTTTGGCGTCGCTCGATATTGTTTATTCCGTGGACGGAGCGGTCGAATGGTGCGGCAGTGGCAAGACCGAGGAGAGCGCAGAGAACGAAAAGAGCAATGATTTGAGAGAATTGCATTTTAGTTGGATGTTTACAAGTGATTGTTTGTTTGTTTGTTTGTTTGTTTGTTGGGAATGATATTACAATTCGAGGTGGATTGTCAGGTATTTGATTTGTGTGGTTGTCGGGTAGCCCAGCTACGATTTGTATTGTCGAGGAATCTTGTTGATTGAAAACTTTAGGTGGACTCATGGGCTGCTTTTATATTTCTTTCTGGGCGACGAGTTTACTAATGACTTGGCGACTTTTTTTTTCATCCTCCTGTTTCAAATTTGGTGTACAAGTAACACGTCTTGCATATATTGTTTAACCGTAATTTGGTTGGATTATGACAACAGACTACTATTTTTATTCATCTTTAACCGAGTTAAGCAATCTCTTACCAGGGGTCGAATTATGGATTATTGGAGCCCACTATGAGTTGATGTTACATCTGGTTATTGAATTGATCAGACAATGGCATGAATCCGTTCTTATTAATCAAGTTCTATCAAGCGTAGTCGAGTTCTTTTTTTGTCGTTAGGTCTCATGCTAATATTATTAGTAATGTTGTACTTATCATTACTCTTTTAAAAAACCTCTCATTTGTGCCACTGAGTAAATCGCATGATAGCGTCATGACAAACTTTAAAGGAAATAGAGTTCCTGATGACGATGCTTGTCCTCGAATCGTATTGGATCAAATAAAGTTCCCGTTGGGCTTATTAAGACTATTGGGCCGATTGATTCCATAACGAAAAATCTATAATTAAAGTGTGATGTACATATGAGGGCATACAATGACTACCCGTATCACGAACAACCACTGTATTCGTTATAACCTATTTATTGTTAATTTAAGAGGCCTTATCGCTTTATCGGATGCCCCGTCCCTTCCGTTATTTATTTTATCTCGTGATTTGTCGATAATCTTTAGACTTACATTCAAACGATCAAGTGATACGACAGCAATGCGTAAACTGAATTCGGGAGAGAAAAACATTATTGAAGATCTCGCTGAATGGATGATTTACGTTGGACGAGCATATTAATCTTCATTTGCTCAGGATCCGCCCACCCTGAACGAAATGCGATACGTGACTTGCCAACAAAGAAGTCTTTACAAATGATAACAAACATTACCATCTTTATTTCTTTTCTTGTTCATCCAAACAGTGATGGGTCTTCATTTACTTTGTGATATTCCCGCTTTTGAATATCCTGAACGAATCGTTTGCGAGATGTTGATCTAGATTTCAGGGGGGAAATCGCAGGCTATCAACAGGATGTTGGATAAGCAGGATACCAATTGTTTCGTCTTTGCACATATCATGTTACCCATTATCAAGACAGATGCTTGATGGCAGAAAAAGTTCATATGCTGATATGCTTTTAACAGGAAAGAACCGCATAACATACAGTTTTACGTTCTGCAATGCAAACTCTCGATTGTAGTAATGTTTTGTTTACTTTTGTTTCATGGACTCTGAAACTTGCCAAGCTCTGCAGGGGGTTCTAGAAATGCTTCAAGCGTAATTTGTTACACAGGGAGTTGTGCGTGTATAACTTGCAATTATTGTTGGTATTAATTCCGTGGTGAATACTTTTATTTTTTAAAAAAAAAAAGAGGATTTCTTAACTTGCAGTGATGAATTTCTTTTCCGATTCACAATCTATCTGCGTAGAAAAGCAGAGATTACAGGCACATTAGTATTTTGCTGTCCGTGCCCAAACGTTTCATTTATCAATTTACGCAAGACTTGCTGCAAATATATCTTTACTTTGGGGCGAATAGTACGCGTGAGCACTCCAAAAAAAAAAAGGTGGGTGAGCCTTTCGATTCATTTTGTCAATCTTTACCATTCATTAATCTGATCCAGTCATTAACAATCGGTGCGTTTTAATATACTCGACTACATTAGAATCGCAATACTCTTCCCATTCACTCTTCCCATCTCTTAGCTGCATTCTGATAAAAGTGGAACTCACATTTCCTCCATCTCCATCGATATATACAGTAAACTCATTCCAAACTCCTCTCCCGTATACCATATCCAGAATTCGTTCGCATTTCTGCCTTTGTTTATCACCGTCGCCAACTGCTCGTCCAATAATGACCAGTCCACCATCGCAGCCACAAACACCAGTCTTGATAGCGTGATCGCTACCGCAAACATAATATACAAAAACTTTACGATTGATTTGGTCTTGCAAGAATTCTTGCATTCTACCAACTACATACGCAAAATCAACAAAATAGTCTTCATTAGCCTTTGCTTCCCACTTGCAGACATCAATCCAATTCGAATGCATTGTAGCCAATTGACACATAGTTATCCTATGATCAGCCTCGATTGCAAAACGGCCTAGTTTGCTTCGGACGTAAAGATCCTGTGATGGCGACAAGAATCCGCCAATAACTATGTTGTTTGGCGAGGATTTTTCTAGTGTGGATTTGGCCAGTTCGAGATTGTGAATATGATATGTATGTACTGGGTTGAATGAACCTGTTGTCAGAAGAACTATTAACCGACTAGCAGAAGACAAAGACGATGGAATGTTGGCTCTGAGCTTGGAAAGCGGCGTCAACATGCTTTGATTTGAAAAACAAGACATTGTATTGGCATAATGAGTTGTGCAAAGGAATATCACTGTTACACTTGTATTTTAAATTAGAAACCTAGTTACACTAAGATTCAATTTCTTGTTACTCGGAAGTCATCTGTGTTGAATTTTGCAGTATTAACGTACTGACAGCAATAAACATCAAAATCAAAGGTTGTCGGGTTTTGCTGCGTGAATATGTCATATTTAGAATGGATCAAGCCAATTCCAAATTAGCAATGAGCATTCACAACAACAGGAAACATAACGGGCAAAAGTCAAGGTATTCATAATGACAGAAAATGAAACTAGCGTTAGAAATCGGCGGGACAGGAAAGATTCGCTTACTGTTTGATGGATACAATTTAAATTATCAGCGGTGTCATCAGATTATACAATCTCGTTTACCTGAAATCTATTTTTATTAAACAGTCTAATATTCAAAATATCAGCCATCCGACTAGTCGAATTTGGTGATAATGAGCATCAGCCTTTATGTGTATCCAAACAGCACAAGTATTCATCGAAACATGTTTACAAAAAAGTAACACGTCCACCCTCTCATAAAATTAACGGGGGGTTTTTTTTCTGGTTCGTTCATAAGCATTCCAATCACTGTTGAAACTGGCAAAATTCTTTTGCGTTAAAGGTATGTTTCGGGGGGAGGGGGAGGGGGGGGGGGGGAAACGCACAGTACAACAACAAAAAGCAAACACAAGAAAGAAAAAAAGATTCCCAGAGAAAATGACGTCAATGAAATGTCGTTTCATTACCATCCATAGTTGTTGTAAACCATCGTGTTTGCTCATCATCCCCATTCACCATGCTGAAATCACGCACGTGAGAAAAATCACCGTCTTCTGCGTTTTCGCCTTCGATCGTTGTCCCTCTCCGAAGAGCTTGTACTATCATCTGTCACCGAGGAACTGTCTGACGCAGAACTACTATCAGCGGACCCGCTTGAAGAATACTCATCACTCGATGTTGCTGTTGATCCACTTGAACTTTCATCGCTATCACTATCACTGTCAGAGTCATTCTCGCTATCGCTCGTTGAGTCATATGATCTAACAATGAGTTTTTTTTTTGCGCTAGTATAATGTACTTTTTTTTTTCTTAATAAAATGACCACAATTGACCAAAAATAACTCACTCGGAACGGGCTCGCTTCCTCTTTTTTTCCTTCTCTTCCAGCAACTTATCGGCTACTCCCTTTCTTTTAGACAAAGACGATTTGTTACCGAGCCTTTCAAGTTAAAAACTCTCAACGTCAAATCGTAAAACAGACAATACTTTGTTTTAAATTCTTCCGGAAGCTCGGCATTTATTGGCTTTAGCGGTTTTGTTAGCTGTTGAGTTCTAGTAGGTCGTGGTCTGTAGGCTCGGGGATTCTTACACTCGAAAGTCTTGTTGCAAGCGATATTGATCATGAGTAAAAAGTTGTGAAAATGTAAACAGTACCAAATATCTTACCCAATGTCCGTACTCTAGACATTTTTGACATTGAGTCGAAGGGCTTGCAGTAGACGTAGTGCTTGGGTACCTATGAAGGTAAGAAGAAGCTGAGTATATCGACATTGCAAGTGTGAGCGAACAAGATGGCACTAACCTTCGCCCGGAGGCACCACTGCCGTACATAATGATTAAATGCGGTCGGTCTTTTAGCTTTATCCTCGTTGTGGTAATCAAAAATATTCGATTGCGTCACTCGAATATTGATCGACAAGATTTTATAATAATGCATTCCGTAAATATAAATGCTATACACCCATATTGCCTAGTCTCGTAATTATTCTACATTTTGAAAATGGTTTGCCAGACATAAGTAAAAAAATACAAACGAGTTTATTGTGTTCTCATTCGATACAGCAGGAGATTATATTCTTGTTAAATATATATAGCCCATTACAGTTACTACAAAGAGAAAAGTTGAATCAGATTACTATTACTGCGTAACATTAGATATAAATATACGTAAAGTACAGTACATCTTTTCGTTTTAACACTTTTAAGTTTATAAAAAAGTGCATCATTATGTAGTCGACTCGTATTCGTCTTGACAGTGTCCCCTTTTCTGAAACAAGCTAAATTTTGGCTTTTTGTTTAGAAATAATAATTTTTAATGGCGACTACATAATTAAAATATTTTTGTTCTTAAAACGTACATGTTACAAATTCATCACCAACAATTGCACGAGGCATTTAAAGTTTGTCCACATCGGCCTTGAAGCGACGAGATATACATGAACATCGTAATGAAAACTTTCTTTAAAAAGGACAATTAATAAACTAAGCAAAATTATTACAAACATTTCTTTCTTGTGCCTGTCTTGGGTAGGCAAATTATTAAAGTATTTTTAGGAGTAATCAAGTCAACATTACTCTTTTTTTATAACCCTACTTACGCACATGTCTCAATTTTCTGTTAAAAATAAAAAACTCTTAATTAATAAACATTTTTTAAATATCTTTAAATTTTGCTGTCTATTTTAATTACGCCGCGCTTTTTGACGCATATCGGTTCTTTTCTTTTTACAATATAAGAATTAGTTAATAAAAAACTAATTAATAGGCCGTGCCCAAGAGCGTGTAAATTTAGTTATGGTAAAAGCGCCCTGGCCATTGTAACATTATTGATATGAATAAGGCATAATACTTTACTTTTTCGAAAACACAATCTTGTAAACGTGGTAATGGGAATTATCATATGGTTGCTCTTATCATCCAATTTATTTTCTTTTAGTATGTGTTGGACTTACATTGCTTTGAGCAGTGAGTATTCATAATTTGCATGCAACGTATCTATTCCCTCGTGTATTGCACGTCGTACGTCTCTTGCCGACAGCTAATTCTCAACGACTGGCTAAAATAAGTAGGAACCATTATGATTATCTCCTGATTTGCGTAAATTTACAACTGTGTACATACTCTAAACGCGTAGAAAACGCGGAAAGTACCTGAATTCAAAACTGATAATTTCAGTGCGATTATCTGTCGTCTCCCTAGTGCATCATAATCCAATTAAATCTATGGGCATATTACTTATGGAGTTGTTTCGTCGTAAACAGTGCTTAAAACGCCGCATTCTATCTGGCGTCGTCGTTGGACTTGACATTTCATATCAAACGAGTCATTTAAATATATTTCCTTTGCAGCGTAAATATAATACAATTACTGTAATTTTAAATTATTAAACCAACGGTGAAAAAACATTCACATATAAATAGTAGCGACCTCGACTTGTTTTTCGAATATCGGTTCAAAATAACCACGTAGAATGAGTCGACTTATCCAGATCCAACAACTGGTAATCCTTTATTAATATTCATAATTCGTCGTCGCAGTAAGATAAATTAAACGTAAATTCGTTTCAATCGGACAGTGATGGCAAGCTCGAGTAGTGATATATTGTTTGTTTGCAAAAGTGGTCATTAATATCGAGTGAGTTCGTTAAGCGAAAATGTAAAAGAACTTTAATTCTTCTACTCCAGAAAACTGACCACATCAGATTGGGATTGCAAATGATGGCCCAGGCGAGATCTTTCTTTTACAAATAAATTAGAGATTTGCTTTAATTGATTTGATTTTGCTCTATATTACAGCCTTTCGACGAGCAGACCTTCTTTTCAATGATAATGATTGCCGTAGGATCTTAACAGAAGATACTGTGGCGTTATGTTTAATTAGACTCGTGTCTTGGAAAAAAAAAAACTCGCATTGTACATAGCACAATAACTGTCAATGTCAACAATTGGCATGTAATAACAAGAATATTGTTTATTGATTGTGCTAGTTTAACGGTTCTTCGTCTATGACGTTCGCGATGAACCGTGGTAGTCGTTATGTGCATCAATGAGATAAATATGAAAAGCGATATTTAATACGCAGTGATAAGTATTGATCGGTTTGATCAGCGCGACACTTTTTCTTGAACCGCCTCCAGAGATACTTCCGAGAAGTCTGTGGCTTGTATTTCAGTTCCAATACCAACCAGCGACCTGCGCAAAGCGTCTTTGCTCGACGCATACAACATCTTACTGCGAATTTTTGAAGTGTCTGGAGTCCTATTGTTTAAATCGAAAAAATTGCGAGATTGGTTCAGTATCAATTCTCGTCATTAGCCAACCCAACCCGAGTTCACAGAGATGCATGTAATCCGTCTGAGCTAGCCATTTGCTGCTCTAATTCTTTGGGGAAGGAAAATCCTACCATGAATAAAATAGTAATTTATTGCGAAGACCTTCCGCTGTTTCATAGTCGAAATCGTAAATTGCGTAACGAGGTTCGTTCGGAGGCAGCGCTCCAATAAAATCATCATAACTTGCAGTTTCTGCTCCTTTCTCAAAGATTATTGACGTCTGGTCATCCGAGATCCTGAATATGACATATCTGTATTTTTTCTTCAATTTTAGTTCTTGAAAAACTTCCAAGCACTCGGGGGCGACAGAAACACCGCTAGACTAGTTAAAATATTAAAAGAATAAGTCCGTGAATAAAGACGCTGACTTTTCGTCTTGCACAACATACTAGACAAAATGAGTAGATTAGCCGATGTAACCGTCATACCATGTTGACTTTTACTGTAGTAGTAGGGTATGTGCGAGAAAAAAAAAGGAACTTGAGCTGTATAAATACAAGTGAGCTATTGGTTACTCGAAATAGCGTGACGGCATTCAAAATTTACGGCAATTGATCACAAGCCACAAAAATGGGTGGTTTGGCACTGCGCCGATTTTGGCACAGTAATCTCTCGTTATCCTTGGGACACGCCAAGGCGAAGACGATATATTGATATTGTGTTGATGGCGTGTTAATCTGAGGTGATGGGGGCTTAAACAATAAACATAGCTGATGGATCAGCCGAAAAATCGTGCCGAGCATTTGCGAGAATGAGCCGTAGTTTTTCTTTTTCTTACCCATTGCGGCTATGTTTTCTCGACTTGGATTCTGGACTATCAAATAAACTACTTACTTGGTTAGCTTGTTGGTGGTATTGCTTGGATTTCCCAGGTAAACAAACGATGATGCCGAGACTTGGTAATGCACTTCAAATATTGTCCAGAAATAGCTCTTTTCCCTAAATCGAACCGCTCAATCGAAGACGTTGCGTTGATCCAAGACTTGCTGACAATCAAACCCATTCCAGGAACAGAATTATACTATTGGAACCCTGAATCGCGATAACCAAGCATACGGATATACTTGGCGAGAGACTTGAGCCGCTGATGAGGCGTATATGACAACCAAGCCAAGATTACCAAGACACACACCTCTCAAGAGTCCCACGTTGATCTTAAATAACTTGCACTCTTTTTTCCTTGTGAGATACTAAGAGTTGACTTTTTACTAATGTTTCATATATTATTTCGTGTATTGTTGTAATATTAATGGTAAATTAATACAAGATGTTGCTATACAATCAAATAACTATGAGGCAAGAAGTCTTGTATCGACTTCAAACCATTATTTTGCCAATACTAAGAAAAAACGGAAATGTGAATGAAAAAAAAATAATAATGGAAATGAACCACCTATTACTGCTAAAAAACTCTACGCTTTCTACAACATACATCACCTTTTTCGCTGAAAAATGATAAATAGAAAGAATAAAAATACATGGAAACAATTTTGATCTCGCGACATTTTATTTTCTTGAATGGAGAAAAATATATTAAGTTCGAGTGCAGAGCACAAACCTATAGACACGAAGTTATGTAAATACAAAATTGAAATGATAAAACGTTCCTACTTTTTGATAACTTGAAAGACCTCATAGTCATCGACACCGAAATAGCCGCTTTTGTCTCGGATTCTTCCGTAACGAAAACCGGCAGTACCATAATTCGATTTACATTCATGTGCCTCGTCAATTATTTTGATATCATAAAATCCAAAACACGGTCCCAGTTGCTCGCTGAGTTGTATTGCCTGTTTTCTATTGTCTTCTTGGATACGCTCTACATTCGCTTTCCTCAGATTACCGTCACCCATTGAAAATATGAAACTGTCTGAGGTTTCTCGCCACTCTACTTGTTTGGGACTACTCCACCCAATCGGATTGTAGCCTCCTATTACTTCTCGCACGCCCGTTTTATTATACTCGTCTTGCTTTTTTTCGTCTTGCTTTTTTTCGTCTTGCTTTTTTTCGTCTTGCTTTTTTTCTATCCTCACCACTACGATTGTTGGGCCTTTGTTATCGCACCGATTATGGAACATTTTTGCTGAGAATCCATCCCGGCTACCTCGATAGAGCAGTTTGAATCCATAAGACATTGGCATCAATGCTTTTAACGGCATTTTCTCCGTAAGAGTCTTTCCATCTATCCAAAGAGCAATGAGAGAAGCCTGTGAATTGGATATTATATTTGAATCTAATGGCCTGTTCGATATTGAGAGACCTTCGTGTTCTGGTAGCTGAAACGGTACTTCAGCGACGTGTCGGAATCGAAATAATTTTGTTACTTGCGGAGTCTTGTAAAATATTTTTTCGTATGGCTTGACTTTCTCTTGTAAATCTGTGAATGAAATCTGAGAGTATCTTATCAACGGAAGGCTTCTACTTAATGTCCGTCTTATTGCAAAAAAATCCCTAGGATAACTCCATTCGGATACATTATTTCGTATATTTGGTGTGTTGGCAATAGCCCATTTAATCAAGTAATCCCAAATTTGGCCCTCCTCCAGGCATATATTATCGCAAGTGAGAATTTTTAATAACGTAGTCTCCTCGACAGATGTGAAATCGTCAGATTCAAAGAACCAACGCGGTTCTGCACATAATGTATTTATACAATGATCTCGGAGTTTGTCGCACCAATCTCGTTTCATGCATACATCCAACACTCTTGGAAGATTCTCTTTTACCCATTTTGTTCTTTCTCGAATAATATGTTCTTGTATTGGATAGATGAGTTCCTCTAGTAACATTTCGTCAGCAGCTATAAGCAACCCAAACATGTCCTCTCCTTCATAATCTTTGACGCTTAACGTGCCGCTGTAAATATATCTAAAGGAATAAAAGACAGCCATTAGCGAAAGGGATCTACTCAGACAGGTTTAAAACGCAACGATCTGGAACAGACAGGGATTAACAACTTACTTTATTATAATCTCGAATACTTTTGGGGATATGTTCGGCTTCTCAAATATATATTTACCCCCTTGTTTTCTTGACCAACTGCTCGAAAGCGCGGTTCGAAAATACTCAGACCTGGCTCGCAAGACCACCGAGTGTGCCTCAAACGACTTTATTTCAGGCTGTTTGCCAACTTGAATAATTGTGTTGAAATCATCAGCCCATTCCAGTAAACTTCCAAAGTTGTTGGCGAGCTGTGTGTAAAAGCTGAGCGACATTTGATTAGACTGTGAGCTGCAAGATTATAAGATTTGTAAAAGAACTGTATTCATGCAAACCATCGATCTCTCACATTCGAGCTTTGTGGTTGTTTCCATCGTACACAAAAAATTAAGCTGCCGCAGCGTACACGTGTTATGCATGAACAGACACACTCACCTGATTAAATTGTTGATCATTCCTAATATATAATTGTGGTTAATTAACGAAGCGCCTATTTTTAGTTTATAACGAAGCTTGTTCTTGGAAATAAGACCTTTAAAGGATATGGGAAAAGCTTCCATGTGACGAACGTTCAATACAAAGCGATCGCCCTGGATGTCTCGATGAAACAGATTTTACTGCACACCGGCGATACGCATTATCATCAATCAGTTTGATTTGTCCGTAAACGTTTCATGTCTCTCAGTTTGCGTAATCGCACTCATATATTTGATTGGATCAAACTGGCTTCTCGCGGTGAAAAATAAGGCTTTTCAAATTGCTTTGAGGTAGCCAAAGTTTTATACAAAAAATTTAACTTTTTTTGTAGGTAATAACAAAAAGCATGTCACGCAACGTCACTTATTTTTTTTATTACATGCAGTTATCGTATATTTCAAATCGTCTCATAAAAAGTAGCTGGCAGATTGTTTGAGGAAAAGGTCCACTATTACCAAGAAGCATGGTGAGGAAATTCACCACCGAACTGAGCCCAGTTTAAAATTTGCGTTTTTCTTCGCAACTTTATTCATACTGGTCTTGAATTAAAAATGATTCATTTCGAATTATTTTTCGTTTATTAATAAATTAGTGTATACCGTGACCTATATTAATGTTGTCAAGAGATGACAGGGCTCGATTCCTGGATAATGTCTGAAACTCTCAAACCCCCACAAATCGAAAAGACTGATAATTACATATCACAGGATTGTGTTATCAAATTTCGGAAAAAAAGTATAACCCATGAAACCGTACACAAACGCTTCCCTTTCTTGTCCTACACTAATTCGAATGCATGGCATCGAAATGTATTTAAATATACCGATTCAGAAGCTAAATGCCCTGTATGTAAAGAGGTACATACACGTCGACCTGATCGAGGCAAACCTCGGTTCTATATTCGCACCGGCACGTTATTTGTATACTCCGTATAATAGATGAATAAGACTAGAGAATTCCCAATAACACTTATCCCGCTTGGGGATGGGGACAGATGGAAACGAATCAGCGTTGCAAATTTTTGGTTCCCATCGTGGTATATGGGGCGATTGGAGCTGTCTCGATAAAAATAATTCTTAATTGTCCTTTCGTATAGATTAAAAAAAAGTTATAATCGCTACACAGGGCTATCGGAAATTCAAGTTAGTGTATCAAACAAAATCCGCCTTTATCAGGCTTGCGCCAATATAAAATGGATCCTGAGAAATTTTCGGTCATTACTGAGGCTGAGAAAAATCGATGGAACATGGGGTGTTTCCTGCTGACTTGGAAAGAGATATACGTCTTTGTCGCGGAGAAATAAAAAGGAATAAAGATACCAGAAAATATTATAAAATTTAACAGATCGGGATAGGATGGTTGGTGAATAGTAGCTAGTTGGTGAACGTCGCAGTATAGCAAAGAGAGGTTTAAGTACTGTATGGCTTGATAATCTGATGAAAGAATGGGAAGAAATCCATACTCAATTCGTACAAATTTTCAACCAGGCATAACCAGATCCAGAGGTCTTCTATTTTTTAATCAACAATAATAACAGGCGCTGGTGGTAAATTCTTGAATTTTTCACGCGTTACGCATATCTCTGACCCGGAAATGTCAATTGCGTGTTCCATTACCAGTATCATCTACCACATAGTAATAGCAATACACCCGAAATAGATCATGCAACGATTATCCAGATATATTATCAATCTTGATTGGTTGATTGTTGTAAATATGCAACTTGCCGATTATCGACGATTACAGTCATCCCTCGTTTATCC